TAGCACGTATATTTTCAAGTTCACCTGGGACTTACGCTAGACAACCACAGAAAGCAGAAAAAAGCTTTGTGCTCAGAAGGCATGGGTCTAACTTGAGCTGTTACTGACTGTGCAATGTTGGATAAATCATTCAGCTCTCTAAGACTCAGTGCTCTCATCTGAAAACTGAGGATAATGCTACCTCTGCTATAGAGTTGTTCTGGAGTTTAAATGTGCAAATGACTGTGAAAATGCTTTGTAAATAGTGATATAGCATCTTAGTTGTTTCTGTAATTTTGAATGGCTCAAGATAGTTCTTTGAACCTTATCTTTTAAATACCTATGAAAGTCCTGAGCTTATGAATGAGCAGATTTTATAAAATTTATTTGTAAGCCTACTGCTAAGAACTTGGGACATATTTTCCTGTGGAAACAATATACAATTAATGTTGCCATTTCCCAGGCAGTCCACACACACACACACACACAAAACCATCTAAAACATGAAGGTCCTTGAGTACCCAGCCTTTATTGTACCTAAAAGTTATGAGCCTTAATTCCATCTGGAATGTGGCAAGTAGACCAAGGCCTTTCTGGGAAGCAGGCTGAGTAGCAATGGCAGACTCTGGCTTACAAGGCATTCCTTTCCAAGTTAGAATCTATAAATCTACGACGGTCTGCTTTTCATCATCTCAACCACGGAAAGGGTGGAGATTTGCCAGTGTGCTGGGTGTCCCTGTTTGGATCTAAACTAGAATTTCCATTTGTCTGCTGATGAACCCACTGAGAAGATGATTTGCATAAGCCGCAGGAAAGTTTTGGCTGAAGGAGAAGGGAGGAGATTGGAGTGAGGGCCTGATTAGGAAACTGGAATCAAGAGGATGCAATAGTGCTTGGCTCAGATACTGGCTCTCAGCCTGGAGGGGAGATGCGCTTCAGGCAGAAGCTCAAGTATCTGTTATCCTAAAGAACCATGAGACTTGGGAGCACATGACTCAGACACAGAATGGAGAGCAGGGATTTCTTGCTGGTCTGCTTGGAAGCCAGCATAGCTTTAGTAAAATCCAGGCAAAGACCTTGGCATGGACAAGAGGGTATCAGCAGCAGTGGAGATGCGGCTTTCAGGACTGTGGCTTGAGTCAGCAGTAGTGGGGCAGGACAGTAAGAAAAATGTATTCATGAGCAAACGCATGTGAAGCACCTCAAAGACACCCAGAAATCTTGGGGGGAAATTTTGTAGAAAACTAAGTGCTAGTATTAGCACATGAAGGCAGGAAGCAGCAAAACTTCCATTACTATGGTGAATGTGCTCCTGCTGGCACTCACAGGCGAGTCACACGGAACAACAGAAACGGGTGGATCAACTCTCTCCATGAGGTGAAGCTCAAGCTTCCCTTTATGCAGGGAAGGATGTGAAAATGGGAAGGAGTGAAGGAAGCCCTGGGCTGGTCAGTCATTGCTCAGGGCTGGTTTTTCCAGGTTTAGGCTCAGCCACAGAGCTGGAGGACCAGTGGATGCCAAGAAATCCTACAGGAAGGCAGGAATGAGTCTTTCCTTGCATATGCCATGAAGCCCCGTACTCCACACAGTCCAGCTGGCTGGACATCAACATCCTCCACTCAAGGCCTCCCTACTGGCCTCCAGCTCACCCTTTATTTATCTTCATTAGCACTTCCAGCCTGGAAGGGCTTGTTTGTGTGTTTCCCACA